TCTGCTCCCTCATCCTTGTTTCCTGTCCAGTCCTCTGGCTTCTGCCCTGGATGGGAGAGGCTCCCAGGGGCTGAGTGTCCCTATGCTCTTTTCTTTAGCCTCAGGGTCACCCTGAGTCCCTAGCGCCGCACCCTTCTGCTGACAGGGAGAGATGAGGACCTGAGGAATTAAGTCTCTTGCCCTTGCCCCCAGTCGCAGGTGGCAGGCCCTAAGAGAAACAAACCCAGCTGCGTGGACTGCAAGGCAGTGTTGGGTCCTTGCTGTGCTCGGTTTGTGTTTGTGTTACTCGCTGTGGCGACCTTAGTCACTGTCTGCTGACAGGCTGGGCGCTGGGGGAAGCAGGAAGGATTCCTGCCCGGGAGAACGGAGTGTGAGATGAACGAATCTGAACTTGAGAACACATCGAGGTTGTTGTCTTCGGCTGTTTTCAGTTGTTAGAATGAAGCACTTGACACCACGTGATCCAGAAACTGGTTTATTGCTCTCGGGGTCCTGGAGATGTGGTCCAGGGGAGGGACTGTCAGGAGTGGAAGTGGGGTGCACCGATCTCAGGAGTGGAAGTGGGGTGTACCTGCTGCTGCCCGACTGTGAAGTGGGACAGTGGAGGAATCCATGGGTCCCCAGCGCCGGGGACAGTCATCCTCGCCGCCCTCTCTAACTTGGGTCCAACACAGAAGAACCACAAATGATTCTCCAACGCCCGCCCTGCTGCAGATTTTGATGTGTTTATTTCCTTGTGGGTTTTAACACATTTCTACTTTGGCTTCCCACTTTCGATGTGTTCCATCGTTCTGTCCAGCGTCTGCGTGGACACGGTGACTGGCGCACCAGAAGTTTCTGACCCAGGTGCCAAGGCCGTGGCCCTTGGTGCGGGAACAGTCCCATGTCCCTCATGAGTCCAGCCTGTGTCCAGGGTGCCAGTGACACCCTGCTGCTCTCCCCCAGACATTGGCTAATGCACGCTGGGGTCACCACGGAGGGCCACCGCTGTGAAAGAACTCCAGGTAACGTGAGCCAAGATTGCCACGGTTATATCCTAGTTTCCATGTCTCGATCCTGTTTCTCTCCAATGGAAAATTCAGGCTTTAGGACCAGACTTCTGATGACTTTCATTAAAGGGAACCCGTAAATACCGCTCATTAGTGGGCTCCGGACAGGAGTGGTCCCAGCGCTGGCACGCACTCTGAGGTGTTTCTTCAGTTGTTGTGCGATCCAGCCCATCTAGTCACAGCGGTTTATGTTCTCTTACAGGAGCTGTTGGGTCCCCTCCCCTCTGTGGTGGTTTCCTCTCCATCGGCCTTCTGCATTCTCTTCTTTTTTTTTAGAGACAGAGTTTCACTATGCAGTTCAGGCTGGCCTTGAGCTCACTTTGTAGCCCAGGCTGGCATCAAACTCACAGCAATCCTCCTGCCTCGGCCTCCCGAGTGCTGGGATTACAGGTGTGAGCCACCACCCTGACTCCTCATGTGTTAACATGCCTTCCTCCTGCTATACGGGCTCCATTGAAGTAACTTGGTCTATTCTGAGTTGGGCTTTGTTATATGCTGCTTTTGTGTTATGGCTTTTGCTTGATCTAGAAAGAATCACGTTCTGTAAACTAAGAATTATTTCCCTGCTATTTGATCATCATCCTGATCAACCAATACCAGCTTCACCATCGCACGCAGACATGACTTGTGACAAATCAAGAAGCTCTCTTTAAAAACCCTTAATAATGTGAATTTGAATAATGTTGCTCTGAAATCCTTCAGCTCAGATCTGTTGCCAATTCAGCCGGCGTTGCATCAGGGCCCCAGAAGCCAGGCGGGTGCAGTTCCCCCTCTGCAGTTTCCCTTTTCCTGGTAGCCCAGAGGCCGGGCTGCTCCCAGGACACCCGCGTCCTTCCTCTGCTCCTCGTCTCTATGGTGTTCTTCCCCACCTGTGATATTACAGAGCTGCTTGTATAGTTGGGTCCTTTACTTCCCGCCCCTGAATTGGGATGGAAGCTCCGTCCCTAATGCCTAGAACACACCAGAGTGGGGGAGAAACTTGAATCGCTTTTCTGGATTCCTGCGCCCATCAGCTTACTTCTGCCTGCTGGCTGCTGCTGGGAGCTCTTTACTGATATGGATGCTGTCTGACGGACGGCCATCTCTCCCTTTCCCTCACAAATACATTTTTCTTCCTATTTCAGTTCCCACCACCTTACTTAAGAATAATTGTCGAGTGGCTGCCACCCTAATGTTGTTTCTGTTCCAGTAATGGTGTCTTCCGTAGCAACGCGCCTTCTGCAGCTCGGGCAGAGAACACTTCTGCGTATTCCTCTCTGCTCTCTGCGTTTCCCCGTTCCTAGCATCACGTGTCCCTGCAGTTTGAATACAGTAGTCCGCTCCTGAAAATATCCGGGAGTCAGATGTTGGATGGCGGAGAACTCTGATTGCAGGTTACAGACATTTTTTCCCAGTGATTGTGTGCCCAGCGCCAAGCTGCACACACACTCATTGCCGGTCCTTAAAAAAGACAATGAAACGTTATGTGTGTTATAAAAACGTAGTCATTGTACATGTGCTGTGTGTGTGACTCAGCGTCTCAGGGTGTGTGTGATTATTTCCAGAAAGCAGAAGCGACATTAAATACTGGTGACACTTTTCATATTCAGAAGCACTCAGCCTTCCGGTTCCGGCTGTCTTAGTGTGCTAGGGGGGTAAGTGGTAGACAGACCCGGTCTCCCTGGGAAGGACCCGGCGCCGATGAGCAGGCAGCTTCTCCTCGTGCCCATCCTGCAGAGCAGCTTTAGAGGCCACTCGGGTGCTTTATGGTCCCTTTCAAAGCAAGGTCCACCCGCAGTTGCCTGGATTGGTGTCATAGGAACAAGGCCAGGGGGCCCGCGCAGAGGGTCTTGGGATTTCTGGGTTGCCCCAAGGCTGCACTTACTGGGGCCTGAGTCTCTGTTTCCTTTACTTTCTTGCACAGTGTCTTGAAAGGACAGGTGTGTGTTTCTTCACTCTGGAATGTCCTTGTGCCTTTCCTTGGACACTTGTTTGTTTGTTCTCTTTTTGAGATAGAGTTTTGCTGTGCAGTTCAGGCTGTCCTTGAACTCACTTCGTAACCCAGGTTGGTCTTAAACTTGCAATCCTCCTGCCTCAGCCACCCCAGTGCTGGGATTATAGGCGTGTACCACCACGCCCAGCTGCACACTTGTTCTCCTGGAAATGGCACAGCCCTGTCCCTATGCCCTCCCTCCTCTCTGGCCCTGTGAGTGCTATGGCATCACCAGGGGGCACCTGGGAAGACAACCTTTCCTCAGCAGGGAGGGGCACTTCCTGCCTGCCTGGGAGCAGCTTCTCAGGGCCGGAGTGACCAGCTTTTGTGGCTCCTGTGGTAGAGACACCACTGCTGAAGTTCTAATTTTTCACTAGAAAAACAAACCATGCCACTTGACCTGGCTCAGGAAGCCATCGGACTGGTAGTTTTCTGATTCTTGGCGTGTTATTCTCTTTTGCAATAACATATCATGTGTTTTCATGTAGGCAGCTGGCTGAGGCTTAAAAATAGAACCCCCAGTTTAAAAATTCTGCCAACATCACCCTGCAAGAGTGCTGCGTGTATGCACAGCAGGTTCACACATGCAAAGACTGTGTGCTCTTCACGTCCCTTGCATCCTTGGTTTTTATTTTTAACCTCCCAGCATGTTTTGTGTTGCTCAGAGGTGGACTGCAACCCAAGTGGCATAAAGGTACTGACGAGTAGGGCCAGGGGCTGAGCGGCAGAGCATGAGCTGCCACTCGGGGGGCCTGGGCTCCACGGCGGGCACCGCCAAGGAAAGAGCTCCATAGTCAGGTGGGTTCACTGTGTTTGTACGGTCAGGTTGCGGTCAGCGGATGGAGCTTAGCATGCAATGGCGAATCCTGTGTCAAATCAGTTATGATAGAAGATCACCAACTAAACGCCATAATCAGTCCTTCCGACCCAGAGTCACTTTATATACCTGTAGCAAACGCCAGTGACTTTCATCGCTGTCATGTCTGTCGCTTGGAAGTCTGGGGATTCTGCCTGTCATGTAGAGAGAGGAACTAATTCATTATAAATCTGAGCATAGGTCTGTTTTGCTTAAAACCTTATGAATGCTGTATGTATAGGTTGAAAGGGAATATAGCCCTCTCTCTCTCTCTCTCTCTCTCTCTCTCTCTCTCTCTCTCTCCCCCTCTCTCTGTTAGGGTTTCATTTTGTAGTTCAGGCTGACCTCAAACACTGTGTAGCCCAGCTGGCCTTAGGCTCACGGAGGGCTTCTTGCCTCAGCCTCCCAAGCTCTGGGGTTGCAGGAATGTACCACCACACCCAGCCAACCAGGGTATTTTCTAAACACTGATGTGATAATATGTTCTAGTCTTTGAACAGATATATAGAATATTGATGTAATAAATATGAATTATATAATATTTAAACTACTTAAATCAGGCAATTGAAACACTTACTGTGAAGCTTTGAAAGTGTCCTATGATCCAGTATGGAACATTATATAGAGAAACCAAGTTAGTTTCTGAAATGGTACCAGTTCAATAACTGTTAATAATTCATATCAGTTGGAGAAATATAGAGACAAGTGAGCTATAATTTAGAGTCACAATTTTTGTGACTATTAGGTATTCTAGGAACACCTAATAGAAACTATCAAGACAGTAGCTTCCTTTAGAAATATATAGAAGAGGTAAAAAAACAAACAAAAAAAGTTAGCAGTGTTGTTTGTGTTTCTTTTTTGTTTTTAATTTGTTTTTTAAGACAGGATCCCACTATGGAGTTCTGCGTGCTGTTGTACTCACTGTGTAGGCCCGGCTGTTCTTGAACTCACAGAGACCCTCCCGCCTCAGCTTCCTGAGTGCTGGGGTTATAGGCATGCGCCACCACACCTGGCTTGCGGAATGCTTTTTCCTCAGTGCACTGAGCTCGCACAGGCAAGCTCGGGAAGCTGCATCCAGAGCCACTCACTGGCCACTGAACACCCACTTGTGCTCCCTCTGCAGGTCTTCACATACAAGCAGAGCACGATCACCCAGCAGAAGGTGACAGCCATGCACCCCGCACAGGAGGAGGGCGTGGACAACATGGCAGCTCTGACGGAGCTGCACGCCGGCTCCATCATGTACAACTTGTTCCAGCGCTATAAGAGGAACCAGATCTACGTAAGTCTCCCTCTCGGCTCCTTCCCAGAGAGGCTGGGCGCATCCTCAGGAGTGTTCCCTGTCTTTTGACATCACTAGTAGCACTGTGTCACTCGGATTAGGATCTTGACTGCGTGGACCATCTTACAGTTTCACAGTCTGATGGAGAGAGGATTTCCTGTCTATGGCGAGGTCTGCTTCCTGCACATTACATCAAGGGAATCGGCCCACTTCTTCTTTCTCTTTGATTTTTTGAGTCAGGGTCTCACTGTGTGGTTCAGGGTGGCCTTGACTTCACTGCATGCCCCTGGATGGCCTCCAACACCCAGTGATCCTCCTGACTCAGCCTCCCATGTGTGCTTTCACGCAGGCTGTTTCCTTCTCCTTGTGATTGCTCCTTGGATCCTGTTGGGAGTCACCTGACACAGCTGTCTGCTCCCCCCATTTCTGCAAGAGAAATATCAACTTGCAGAGGTTAAGCATCTTTCTTTCCTGAAATTTTATTTCCATCTTTTTCCTCAAAATCACTTCCGTAAGCAGAATGTGGTAATGCACACCTCTGATCCCACCGCTTAGGAGGCTGAGGGAGGAGGACTTTGAGGTCCAGGCCAGTCTGGACATAGCCTGGCCTCAAAAAAAAAAAAAAATCACTTCTATAATAATTTTTAAATTTTTTCTTGTTATAGTACTGATATTACACTACCTGTCGAGATCAACTGCTTTATATATTTCATCTTTTTTTCTGCCTATTTGTACATATTTATAGTAACCTGGAGGCAGCTACTTACACGTTTGGTTTTATTAAGTTCAAATTTACACAGTTTTTTAAAAATATCAAAGTATTAATACTTCTAAAAGCCCCATCTTTAGTGATTGTTGTTGTTTAGGAGTTGTTTTTAACTTTCCCAGTATTTTGAGGCTCTGATGCCAACAACCACCTTGGAAATGTTGAGCCAGGGCTGGCTGAGACCCCGGGCACCCTGGCATCCCGGTCACTCCCGAGCTGCTCTCCTGCAACTGGGAAGAAGGGTTGGGAAATGGGAGGAACCAGACATTTGTGGGTTTAATGCTTCATTTACCGCCGCTTAAAATCAGCGTATTTATTTCCCTTTTTTCGGGTTGTAAAAGTGTCACTTCTGTCAGATGGACCTAATGTTTGCCAAATGTTTCTAAACAGCCCTGTCCAAAGAAACTTGATCGTGTCGTGGTCCTCCGATTTGCCAAGTGTGATTGCCCCGAGTCTTTAGGTTAAAATGATTTCCACATGTTCTGCAGAAAAGGTAGCGTTGGCTCAGGGCTGCGTCAAGCAGCCGTAGAGTATGCCGTGCGCATGTGCTGGCAGGCTGGGTATTTATTTCTTTGTTTCTACCTCAAAATCTTCTCATGGATGACCAGTGAGCTGGGTGCCCACCCCGACGATTCCCCACAGCACATCCACGCCCATCGCTGTGCGCCTGGTAGCTGTGCAGTACGCACTAGTGAAATAAATGCCACACACGTCACAAAGCACATACTCTAGGTGATGCTCAAATACAAAGCTGGGTTTTGCAAAACTTCGCTGTTTGTGGATGTGGTATGCAGGCTTTTTGGGACTCATGGTCTTCTGTTTTTAAGGAAAAGACCTAAGTTCTTATTGCATGTTTTCAATATGCAAGAAAAGTCAATTAGAAGGAAGAATTTACCAACGGCTTTCAAAGGCAGAGCTGTTTTAAAAGTTTTTCTCTTTTTTTTCTTTCATGATAATGAAGTTAAACCTGATAGCTAAATTGCCCAATAAATCCTCTGAATTGGATCTTGGTCCCGTTTCCTAGAGGAGAGCTCTTTTTCCTCTCTTTCGAGGAAAAAACAGTGGATTTTTGTGCATCTAATCTGTAGCTCCATTCACTTCATTATGCCCTTTCATGCCTTGCTTGTGAGACTTAATTGCATTATTACCCATAAAGCAGCCACTGTGGCTTTCTTATTACCGCTGCCATTGTCTGAGGGGGAGGCGGTACCTGCTAGGCTGCCCGGAGACAAACAAGCCCGCCATTGTCTACCAGCCATTTGACCACCTTGCGCCTGGCTCTGAGCAGTTCCTGTTAAGATTTGAGTTTGTTGGGGGCTGGGGATTTAGCTTAGCAGCATAAGCACCTGCCTTGCAAGCAGATGGTGGTTAGTTCAATCCCCAGTACCGGTAAAAAGAAAAAAAAAGTGTTAAAAAAAAGATTTGAGTTTGTTGTCTAATGCTGATGTCTCAGCCCATAGACATAGCAGCTAAAAAAAACACGCATTTCCTTCGGATGTGTGGGGCAGAAGCCTCTTGATTTCCTTCGGATGTGTGGGGCAGAAGCCGCTTGGAGGTCTCACAGGCTGAACTCAAGGGGTCCTCAGAGCTGCTTGCTCCTGGAGACCCTGGGGGTGCGTCTGCCCCCCATCTCAGCCTAGACAGCTCCGTAGTAAACAAAATAAAAGAGGACAAGGTAAATCTGGCTCACAGTTTATAGAGGTTTAGTCCATAGTCCGCTGGCTCCATGGTAGGAATGGCAGAAAGGCCTGGCAAAGAGAAACAGCTCCCGCACCGCAGCAGGGAGAGCGATCAAGGGAGGAGGAGGGAATAGACCCTGCCAGGCCACGCCCACTTATTACCTCCTCCAACCAGGCTTCGCCTCCCTACACCACCTTTAGCTACAAACCCATCAGCCAACTAATTCATGAGGCTTTGGAGGGACATCCAGATATAAACCATAACAAGGACCCATCCTTCTTTCTGAGGGCTTTGTCAGACCTGGTAAAATATTTTTCCCCCTAGCTCTTAGCATCTTCCATTGAAGTGAGGGTCAAGAACAATAAAAAGATCAAGCTGTCTGACCCACATCAGAGTCGAACCCTGCCTTCCTTCCCTAAAGTCCTCCTTATCTCTGTTGGAGAATAGTTTCAACTCTCAGAATGTTCCTTTTTTAAAAAATTGTTTTATTTTAGAGGTCAGATATGCCTCTGCCCTCGTGTATCAGAAGGGTTTTGAAATAAAGCAGAACCTTTCATGGCCGCGTCTCCTGGCTCAGCTCATCCACCTCCTTCCAGCAGATATCTGTGCAGAAAGCTCTGATCAGGGGGTGAAGCAGAGGGGACAGGGTCATCCCCAGCCTCAGAGCTTGCAGTTTAGCAGGAACACAGAATGGAGGCCAGCGCACAGCTGAGGGCTTAAACAGCTGGAGACAGTCCCGCTGAGGGGCAGCTCACAGGAGGTGGCATCGGCTTGGTTTTGACCCCACGCCTCAGCGAGAGCCTTGCTCAGCAGCTCCCAGCCTCCTCGGCCTCCACCCTGTGCCACTGGCATGCACTTCCTGTCGGTGAGGACACTCTTTCCTGGTGGCCCTGTAGCCCATGCCTATTCAGTTCCCAGAGCATTTAAGGAGGAGGCTGGCTGTGCGCAGTGCAAAGAGAGCAACAGATGGCAGAGATATTCTACAGCGGGTCACAAAGCCTGAGCTTGAGCCGGGCACAGTGGTGCGCACCTGTAATCCCCATGTTCTGGGAGACTGAGGCAGGAGGACAGCGAGCTTAAAACCAACTTAGGAAAATTAGTGGCTAATCAAGCCCTATGGTCAAAAAGAAAATTTTAAGAAGCACTTGGGGTGTAGATCAGTGCAGAGGCCCTGGGTTCAATCCCAGTGTCAAAAGGGAGAGAGAGGGAGGGAGGGAAGAAAGAGGGGAACAAGGAGATGGAAGAGGGAATGGAGACCGACCTTGCCGCAGAGTAGAGAGTGTGACAGCAGCGACATACCGAGATGTTGGCTGGAAGGGTGGGGGACCCCATACTGGACAGTGGAGAGGTGACAAGGTCGTCTGGTGTGAATTGTGTGTGCTTATGGAAGCAGATGTCTGTTTTGTACTTCGCCAAATGGAGGAGACACACATTTGCCCCATTCTGTGTGGGCTTTGTCCAGCCCTGGGCCAAGCACACAGGGTTGACTCCTCTCCCAGCATCCAGGGAATGGCTGGAAACCACATCACGGGAAGCCGCGGGGAATGTAGGAGCCCCTGCAATTAAGGCGGGGAGGGCGTCTGCAGAGGAAGCCGGCCTGTGTTCCACCCGGCCCTTCAGTCAGTTTGTTGGTCTTGCTGAACAAACATCTCGGGGATGAGAATCAAAGGAACCTGTTTTCAGACTCCAGGCCGCGTTTAAAGATACATGCTCTGCAAGCACAAAAGATGCTTCACAGCTGATGTATTTTTAGGTGTTGCAAAAATATCCCCCTGCGGTTAGGTGGGTCCAGCCCACCTCTGTCCGTGTGGTGAGTGTTCTTCCCGAATTAACTCTGAAGCCTGCTTCTGCGGTCCTGCAGCCAAAGACCCATCAGTGTATTCACCTGTGGGGAAACGGAGAGGCCGCTTGCAGCATGAAGCCCGGGCCAGCAGGTCCTGGAGTGTTCTGTTTGGGGGACTTGCAAATCCCCGTCCGTCTTCTTTCTTTTGATTGAGTCTTCCCAAAATAGACTTCTTTGGGCTTTTTCTGCCTCTTTCCAAATTCACTGTCAAGAAATGGTGTGCCTCCTGGGGTCCGAATGGTCTGGAGTCCTCTGGCTACTGTCTGAGCACGTGACTCAAACCAGAAATAGCCGGACACGGTGCAGTCTGCCAGGGGTGCTTGTTTTTTGGCTGGCTGGCTTGCTTTCTTTCTTTCTGTTTTTTTTTTTTTTTCCTCCCACATGAAATCAAGACTTGTTTTGCCAGAAGATAATTGTAGCCATCTGTCTGACTCTCCATATTTTTAAACTTTACCAAACATTCGAGCTCTCGGGCGGTCACTTCCACATCAGCACACAGTAGTGGCAATTAAACTGTGTTTGCTGACACCCCTCCCCATCTCGCCTTTGGTTCATATGCCTTTCAGCAGGAGAGAATTGGAGTCAGGAATTCATTTAAATGAAACTTAAGGGCCAACACGTCTGCATTGGAGAGAGTTGTGAGTTACGATGAACACCGAGTGTTTTAAGTAATTCTTTTCAAATGGTGCAGTTGGACCAAGACAAATAATT